GGGATCCCAGCAGGACTCAAATAAGATGAATTCCCAGAATTTAGTGACAGGGCCAGACAATGCCAATTTTTAAAGGGGAAAATTGTATGTAGAAAATAAATGCAATGAGTCATCTACAAAATTTTCATACTTTTAGAGACAAACCCTAAATATTTCTCATGAAATTATACAGTTCTATACCCTAATCTGGGATTGTTGAGCAATGATTCCCTCTAACTTAAACACCTCTATTGCTTCAGGTGTTTGGCTTGATGCTACCCTAGGCATGAAACACAGGAAAGCAAATGCCAGGGTCACCTCTTCAGCTTCCTGCACTCATTCAATCAGCTGTTAAGCAATTGGCGGGATCTGAGAATCTCCCCCTACCTTGTGGGTTCTATTAGGAACCACATTACTTTTTAAATTAAATGTAAAAGCATATATCAACATTTTTATGTGGTAAAAGCTAATTATATTACCTCTCCTAGGCACTGTCTTTCACCCCAGGCCCTTCTGTAGTGACCAGTTCTGCATAGACTCTGATCAGCTTTATATAGGTTCCACTTTACAACACATCATCTTCAGATCCATGCCATGTACCTCTTGTCTCCTCTACTAAGGATGCAGTATCCTGCCTGTGACCAAACATGCGCAACCCAGAAGTGCAGCATGAACTCTGACAAATGGGACATGGGATCTAACAGATAAATGCTTCCCTTTCTTTCCCTGGAATGATTGGTCCTGAAGTATATTTCATAAGGCTTCTCAGAGGGTTCTGCAGAATCAAGTAACCAGTGATCAGTAGCAACACAAACCAAAACCCAAACTCACTGACATTGAGTTGATGCCAACTCATACCAACCCCCGAGGTAGTATACCTTTATGGAAACAGATTGCCCAGTCTTCCTTCCATGGAGTGGCTGGTGGATTTGAACCACCAACCTTCTGGCTAGCAGTTAAATGCCTTAGGCACTATGCCACCAGAGCTCCTTACCAGTAGCAATAGTCAACTTGTATTGGTTCTTCTTCCTTTTCTTTTTCATTCTCCCTGCCCCTTTACTCCTGTTCCCTGGCACCCCACACTCCAAGAAGTATTCACTTCACTCACAACCCTTTGTCTCAGGCTCTGCTTTCTGTGGGACCTAGGCTATGATAAAAATCATAGGGGCCACCTGTGTGAAAGTGGACAGTTAATCTTACTGTTCACTAATATAAGATACAAAGTAAGACACCATATCCTTTGGCATATGAAAAGAAAAACTACTTTAAGATGTGGATCTCCAGAAAGGGAAATGGGACAGGAGTTCCTGGTTGACAGCCTCTGATGACCAGGAGGATCTATGTTCATGGCAGTCCCATGTTCTTGTGATAAGCCATAGTAAGAGTAGAAGGCTTAGAATCCTGAGTCTCCCAGCTTGGGAGCCACACTGACATTTGCCCTTGCCCCCCACAAGACTCCCTCTCTCTCTCTCTTAGGACTATTTAGATTGCTGTGCTGTCTAACATGATAGTTGCTAGCCATATGTAGCTATGGGAATATATACTTAATTAACATAAAATTTAAAAATTCAGTCTTCTAGCCACATTTTATGTGATCAATGGCCACATGTGATCAGTGGCTACTCTTTTGGACATCAGATAATAGACCATTTCCATCATAGCAGAAAGTGGTATTGAAAGCACTATTCTAGAGTCAAGACTTTCTGGGTCTTAGTCAATCATCCCTAGAGAAATAATGGACTTCCTACTCATGTATCAGTAGCACTCAGAGCCAGTTTTATTTATATGATTAAGTAAAAGAGACATGATAGTATTTAGTTCCTGAGTTAGTGAAGACTGGGCAATCTACTTCCATAGCAATACCACCTAGGAAACCCAAGGAGGGGTTGCTATGAGTCGGGTCTGACTTGCCAGCATAACAACAACAACAACAATATTAAGCAACATCAATTGATACCTAGATGTTGGGGACATAGGAGACCCCATCTTTGTGAAAAAAGACACTACTTTTAAAATACAAACAAAAGAAAAACTTTATCTATTATCTATCTAACCATCCACTTAATTCCTGTATACTTCAGTGCAAATTCATCAAGTCAATTACAATTCATAGTGACCCTACAGGACAGAGTAGAACCGCTACAAAGGGTTTCCAAGGTTATAATCTTTATGGAAGCAGATTGCCTCATTTCTCTTTTGCAGAATGGCTGGCTTGTGGGTTTGAACTGCTGACTTTTTGGTTAGCAACCTGATGCTTTAACCACAGTGCCACCAGAGCCCCTTATACATGAGTGAAGAATACTCAAAAAAGCTTTGGTTAGAACAACTACCTATAATTTAAAATTCAAATTCTCCAAATCTATAAAAATAATTGAGGCAATGATGACAAAATTTAATTAATATTTCAGACTTAAATTTTATCTCAAATATGTATCAGTTATCTAAAATCAACACAGCCTCCATTCAAAGCTAAGAGTAAAAAATTATACCATGGTAGAAACTGGAAAATAATAAAAGTAAGCTTCTTTGTCATCCTATGGGAGGCACTGACTATTTGAACCTAAATTCTTCATTGTGTCCATCAGAATATAATATCATCTTGAGACATTCTGGAGAGAATGAATATCCTTTCAAGTTCTCCTAGTGTGGTGGTTATGTTTGTGTGTCAACTTGGCTGGGCCTGGTTGAGTGGCTGGGCAGCTGGTGGTAGTTATTCCCCATGACAAGACTGGCAATCAACGCCATGGTGGGATCTACCACAAGCAGCCAAGTAGCTACGTTGGGTGTGTGGTCTGCTTCCCGTATATAAGCAGCAGCTTTGGGAATGGTCACTAGCCTATGGCAAGCTTGGACCCTACATGTAGCCATGTCACTGTTCAGTGGCCTGCCATGCTCTGCCGACCTTGGGACTTACAATAAACTTGAATTAATGGCCTGCCATCTGGTTTGGTAACATTGGGACTGGGCCTTTTTATTTGTCAACCTTGGGTTTGTCAGCCTCAGCAGCCAGCAGCTGTCTGAGTATAGAAACGCCTCTAGCTTCAGTGGGCTGGGAGCAGTAGGCAGAGCTGGACCCCAAGGTTGAGGGGATTTCACCCAGCCCCTAGAGCCTGGCACTTTGAACTTGGACTTCTAGCCTCTTGAACTGTAAGAGAATAAACTCCTTTTTGTTAAGGTCATCCCATTTGTGGTATATTCTTGTCAGAGCAGCACTAGGTAACCAGAACACCTAATATTACTGTTGGTTCCCTGAGAGACTATGAATCATTATATCAGACAATTTATGTAGACTATTAACTATTATAGTTTAATATTAATCAATAACATTGCTTTTATAACTAATCATAGTGAGATTATAACGAATAGAATTACTTTTTAAATACTTCCTTGGGGGTGATTCTCTATAGTGTCTAGCACAGTGTCTTGCTTGCTGTGCTAGATACAACCATCTCTCAAATGTTGGTGTTCCTCAGATCCTAAGCCTTCTTCTCTCTTCTTTTATCACTTTTCCTAGGTCATCTTATCAGCTGCTAAATGCAAACAGAACCACTACTGTGGAGTCAGATCCACTCATAGTTACCCCTCCTTGGGTTTCTAAGGCGATATCACTATGGAAGTAGATTGCCCAAGCTTCCTTCTGAGGAGTGGATGGTGGGTTTGAACTGCCACCCTTCTGGTTAGCAGTCAAATGCCTTAGGACTTCATTTACTAAATATATGTTGATGACTCCCAATAGTATTAAAGATTAACATTTACTGACCACTTATGTTCTAGACTCTGTGCTTTACAAACATTAACCCAGGTAACAGTCTCAACAAACTTCCCTACGACAGGAAGAGCCCAAGTCTCCTCCTAACCAACACTTGGATACCCATCTCATACATACCTCAAATTCCACATTTCCAAAATTGAATCTACCTTCCCCACAATTCTACCTCTACTCTTTCATACTTTTGCCCATACCTCCTCCATCTCTTGCCACATGAGTTGCCTTACAACATGGCAAATAGCTTTTCCCAGGGCAAGTTATCCAAAACAAAGTGAGAGAAAGAGCCCCCAGGAAGAACTCACAATCTTTTAATAACTTAATCTCAGAAGTGACATCCCAATACTTGTGCCATTACTAGAAGCAAGTCACTAAATTCAGCCATACTCAAGGAGAGAAGATTACAAAAGGCCGGGGACTATTGGGGGCCATTTTAGATGTTGCCTACTACAAAGAACTAGATTCAATTATCCACAAATCCATCATAACCTTGTAGGGTGGGAAGTGGGGAGGGCTGAAGGATGAGTGGGAACCAATCGGCATCTTCCTCAACCCTCTCTGCTTTTTGGAGTTGACCTGACCATGAGTTATATGTCTTGCATGTTTTTTCACCAGCTGACACACTCCTGGCCTAGTCTCCTTTTCACTGATACCATTCTGCCACCATGGGGGACAGGTGGAGAACTCACACATTTCTGGGAGATGCTGCATACCAGGCTTTTTACATAATTCTAAAAAAGATCAGCATTGTAGTACCAACTAGCTCTACTGTTAACAGTTAATCCAAATCAGAAAATATCATGATAAGTCACATTTAAATTTTATACTGAAGCTTCAAAAAAATAAATAAAGTTGTCTTTAGAAATACCAAATCTACATTGGAGGAGGTTTAAAAATATATTATACAGGTTAATACTGAAAATAATTATTTCATGATGTGCTGTATATTTTTCTAAGGAGTATTTTTATTATAATCCAATTTACTGTTACAGGCAAGATAGAGAATGAATGTATAACAAGCTACACATTCATCTGGATGAGTTGATTTTTAAGAGAAATACTTAAGGGTCTACTCTTAAAATCTCATTTAACATTTATTGAGCACAATAGCTCTACTTCAAGAGGGTGACAGAAATTTTTTTTAAAAATTTACAATACAGTTCACAGAAAAGAAACCAAACTATTCCTCTAAAGGCAGGAACCTATAGTGAGTCATGATGGACCAACCCAGTACAGGAGTGAGAACAGCCCCTACCTTCTGGTAGTCTTCTGTGGACCTCAACGCCACCTCCATTTGCTTGGCAGAGGTGGGATAGATGGCTGAACGGTACTGAGTACCATGATCGTTGCCTTGGCGCATGCCTGGTAAAGTAGAAAACAGAGAATTATCGGGGTTGAATGGGTAACAATCCAGAGTCCAACTAAGAAAAACGCTGACATGTTCAGGCATTTATTTTTTTTATGTCTTCTATGAAAGAAGTGCTGTTAAGGGCTTGTTTTAATTTCACCTTCATCATTTTCTTTAAACAAGCATACTCTCTCTCTCTCTCTCTCTCACTGCCATCGAGTTAAATCCAGTCTTGTAGCGACCTCTCCTTGAGTTTCTGAAGTGATATCACTACAGAAGTAGGCTGCCCAATCTTCCTTCTGAGGAGTGGTTGGTAGGTTTGAACCACAAGCCTTCTGGTTAGCAATCTGTCAAGGGGGCAGGGAGGCCGCATCTTCTGACCTCCTCTAACTCTACAAGAGGAAGACAGAATCACCATCAGTAGCCCAAGGCCTATTTCTATGAGTCCAGACATGCTGCCTCCCTCCAGCCCTTTCATGAACTGTTCCTCCTGCAGCACCCACCACCTCTCTGCTGGGTTCGATGCAGTGGCCGCACAGAACTCACAGATTATGAGGTTTATTAGGGAAGTACCAGACTGCAATTCAAGTTTAGAAATGTACTCAGTCTCTTGCAGCTGGCCATCTCAGTAGCAGATCACTCTCTTAGGAGTGTATGTCTCTCGTGTCTTTCTCTCAGCAGTGTGTGTGTCTCGTGTCTCTCAGCAGTGTGTGTCTCTCATGTCTCTCAAGAATGCATTTCTCTCAGCAGCACATCTTTCTCAGCCAGCAGTCAGAGAGACTCTTTCTGCCTCTCAGAGGGCTCCTTTTGGGCCTGGCAGAGTGGCCCAAACCAACCAATCCCAACATCAGAGTTCTACACACCAGAGAGAGAGTGAACTTCCCCCAAAATTACTTCATTCTGCTTTCAACAGAAATACCCCAGGTGGGTAACTTTAACAATCAGGAGCTACTCAGTTGCTCACAGCAAATTCCACTGCGGAATTTACAAAGACTTATGGCTAGAAAAGACACACTATATAATTTACAACACAGCACAGTCAAATGCCTTAGACAGAGTTTTTGACATCATTTTCTTTAAACAAGCATGAAATTAATCTATTTTAATTTTCCTGTTTTAATTATAACAAATATCTTTGAATTTAGGTAAACTGATCACAGGCCTTGGAACATAGTAAATGCATTAGAAATAATCTCGGATCTTGACAAAATTTAGTTTCTGATGTTCTCAGGTGATGCTGGTCATCAAACCACACTTTGAGTTCAAGGGTTTTGCATTTGCCAAGATGTTTTCAAACTTCCTTATTTATTCTTCAACAATAGTCTCACATCCAATACTATGTTGAGAAAAACCTGAATCTTTCAAATCAATTTTGTGTACAACATTCCTTCCACCTCAGCATGCCATGCACATACTTTACACTGAACTCCTAATTCAGCCTTCAAGACTTAGTTCAAGCATCTCTCTGTAACACAATTAGTCTGTTGTGATGTCCACTGTCTCCTTTGGGCTCCACTGTCTTACAGGTCCCTCTCTTAGAGAGTTTTTCACATTATATTTGTATTATATTTGTCCATCTTCTTCTTTTATGTGCCTTCCAAAGGGTGGGGTTTTAAAGCAATAATACCCGGTATAGCATAGTGGCTAAGACAGTTGCCTGCTAACCAGACGGCTGGCGGTTCAAACCCACCAGCCACTCCTCGGAAGGAAGGTTGGGCAATCCTACTTCCGTAGTGATACTGCCTTGGAAACCCAAGGAGGGGTCGCTATGAGTCGGGGCCGACTCGACAGCACATAACAACAACAACAACAAGTATCAGACATATGGAAATAATACTTCCAAAATATTTGTTGCATGAAGAGTATATTAATTTATATATTGTGATCCAAGCCCTGCAGCTAATGCTGGAATCTGAATCAATTAATCTCTTTTTTTGTCATATTTAATTTGTACTGTTAAATGCAAACAGGAAAATAACTTTTCTTTAAAAGCTACCCCCCCAAAAAAGGGTGTACAAATGAGCTAATTTAGTTCGACTAATAGAGGCAAATGCAGTAGCTAAAAACAGCAAAGATTCACTCCGGCAGTTAAGAGATTGACAATCTAGACTTCATGATCAAAAGTGCAGACCAAAAATAGAGGCTTAAATAGTAACAAACTAATAGCATTTAGGGTCACACCATAGGTTATAAGGTGGGTATGTGTGTGTATCTTTGTGTGGTTACTTTTGACACTTCCTAGTTGACTTCCTACTTAGTTGACTTCCTAGAAATCCCATTCTTCTACTTCAAAATTTCATTCTATCCTCGATGCACAAGGAAATATGAGGCCAGGCATAAATTAGTGGCTTTAATATTATTAAATTAATAATTAAATAGAGAAAGGTCAGTATAGAAAGGCAAAGAAAGACACTGGGAGGAGCACAGGAGTTAAAGGCAACATAGGTACTGTTGCTATTTTTGTTAGGTGCCATCGAGTATCGAAGCCATATACAACAGAACAAAACACTGCCTGGTACTGGGCCATTCTCACAATCTTTGCTATAATTGAGCCCATCTTTGCAGCCACTGCATCAATCCATCTTGTTGAGGGTCTTCCCTTTTTTCTCTGATCCTCCACTTTACCAAGCATGATGTCCTTCTCCAGAGAATGGTCCCTTCTGACAATATGGCCCAAGTACGTGAGATGAAGTCCGGCCATTCTAGCTTCCAAAGAATGTACGGCTGCACTTCTTCCAGGATAAATTTGTTCCTTCTTCTGGGAGTCCATGGTATTTTCAATATTCTTCACCAACACCACAATTCAAAGGCATCAATTCTTCTTTGGTCTTCCTTGTTTATTGTCAAGCTCTTATATACATATGAGGTTATTGAAAATACCATGGCTTGAATCAGGTGTATCTTAGTCTTCAACGTGACATCTTTGCTCTTTAATACTTTAAAGATGTCTTTTGAGGAGATATTCCCAGTGCAATATAACACCTGGTCTCTTGACTGCTACTTCCATGAATGTTGATTGTAGATCCAAGTAAAATGAAATCTCTGACAACTTCAATCTTTTCTCCATTTATCCTGATGCTGCTTAATGGTCCAGTTGTGAGGACTTTTGTTTTCTCTATGTTGAGGTGTAATCCATACCGAGCACTGTAGTCTTTGATCTTCATCAAAAGTGCTTCAAGTCTTCTTCACTTTCAGCAAGCAAGGCTGTGTTATCTGTATATCACAAATTGTTAATAAGCCTTCCTCCAATCCTGATGTCATGTTCTTCCTCATATAGTCCAGCTTCTTGGATTATTTTCTCAGCATACAGTTTGAACAAATATGGTGAAAGGACACAACCCTGACACATGCCCTTCCTGATTTTAAACTATGTAATATCCCCTTCTTCTGTTTGCATGACAGCCTCTTGGTCTGTGTACAGGTTCCTTATGAGCACAATTAAGTGTTCTGGAAATCCCATTATTCACAATGTTATCCATAATTTGCTATGATCCACATAGTTGAATGCCTTTGCATATTTAATAAAACACAGATAAACATCTTTTGTGTATTCTCCACTTTCAGCTAAGATTCATCTGACATCAGCAATAATATCCCTCATTCTACATCTTCTGAATCCAGCTTGAAAAGCTGAAAGTTCCCTATAAATATACTGCTGCAATCATTTTTAAATTATCTTCAGCAAAATTTTACTTGTGTGACATTAATGATATTGTTTGATAATTTGCACATTTGGTTGGATCACCTTTTTTTGGAATGGGTGCAAATACGGATCTCTTCCAGTCAGTTGGCTCTATAGCTATCTTCCAAATTTCCTGACACAGACAAGTAAGCACCACGAGCATTGCATCTATTTGTTGAAACATCATAGTAGGTATTCTATTAATTCCTGGGGCCTTGTTTTTCACCAATTCCTTCAGTGTAGCTTGGACTTCTTTCTTCAATATCATTGATTCTTAATCATATGTAACCTCTTGAAATAACTGAATGTTCATCAGTTTTATTTGGTACAGTGACTCTGTGTATTCCTTCCATCACCTCTTTCCACAGATGTAGTCAATTTGATTTCTGTGTATTCTGTGTGGTAAGGACCATGTGTTTAGTTGCCATTTATGTTGTTGTAAAAAGGTATTTGCAATGAACAAGTTGTTAGTCTTGCAAAATTCCATCATGCAATCTCCAGCATCATTTCTATAATCAAGGCCATATTTTCCAAATACCATTACTTCTCTGTTTCCAGCTTTTACATTCCATTCCAATCACCAAAAAAAAAAAAAAAAAAAAAAAGAAGAAGAAGAAGAAAAGGAACTTACTGCCGTCAAGTTGATTCCAACTCATAGCAGTCCCCATTGTATTTCTGATGCTGTAAATCTTTACAGAAGCACATCACCCCATCTTCCTTCCATGGAATAACTGGTGAGTTTGAACCACTGACCTTCTGGTTAGCGGCCAAATGTCTTATCCACTATGCCACCAGAGCTCCTTTCCAATCACCAGTATAGTGTAGTAAATCAAATAGTGTGGCTTTTCTAGCCATCAGTCTTTGTAAACTCCATGGTGGAATTTGCTGTGAGCAACTGAGAAGCTCCTGATTATTAAAGTTATCCACCTGGGATATTGCTGTTGCTAGTGGTATGAAGCAATCTGGGAAGTTCTCTCTCTGTCAGGTGTACAGAATTCTGATGTTGGGATTAGTTGGATTGGCCACTATGCCAGGCTCAAAAGGAGCCCTCTTAGAGGCAGAAGGAATCTCTCACTGCCAGCTAAGAGACACTAGAGACATGCCTTGCTGAGACAGAGATGTGAGAGACACACATTGCTGAGAGAGAGATGCAAGAGACACACACTTCTCAGAGAGACACCAAGAGACATGCACTGCTGGGAGAAAGACTGAGAGAGACTGCTAGCTGAGAGACAGCAGGCTGAGAGAGACTGAGCACGTTCCTGAACTTGAATTGTAGCCTGTTGCTTCCCTAATAAACCCTGTAATCTGTGAGTTCTTATGGCCACTGCA